GGGGTGTGGAGGGGGGCTGGTAGAGGTGGGGTGGAATTGTTTTAATTTTTTTGGGACAGTGGGGGCTGGTAGGGATGGAGTGAAGTGATAATTTTTTTTTAAAGCTTTTAACAAGATTTCTATTATAATATGGATAAATATAGTTATCCATATTATTCATTGGGTAACTCGTTTTTACCCATTTAAAATGTGAGTCGAGTCCAGTAACTTATCCATTTTTATTTAACTCATTTTTAATCGATTCATATTCGGCTCGACTCGCTCGTTTGCCGTTTCTAGTCATGTGCAAGGAAGAAACTTTATAATAATATTCATTGATAATTCAATTAAAGCCACGTCTTTGAATTTTGTTAATGTTGATTATTTCTACACGTTCCTTTCAAAATCTCTCAACATCAATAACTAGGCGCCAGCTTTGCCTAAAAAAAGAACCCCCCTTTTTTTTTCTTCACATTGTTATCTTTCTTTATAATATGATAATTTTCATGGGTGGCATGTACAATATTGAGGGAATCAAAAAATGGATTTGGGTCTGAATGTTCCTTTATTCTTGATATAAAAATGGGGTTTGTTGAATTTTTTGAATGATTAAAGAAAATGGGGTTTTTTGGAAGTTTATTAGGAATTCTTGGTTTTGGAGTTGGAATTTCGATTGGTTTGATTGTGGGGTATTTTTTGTTCATATACTTTGAGGCCAGAGATGTTAAGGTAAAATGCACTGATTTTAATGTCAAAGATTGAGTTTTTATTTTGTGTTACTGTTTTGGTTTGATCATTATTGGATAGTAATTATTTGATATTTGATTTTGATATGCTTTACTTGAGCTGAGCACTGCCTATGTTGTTGTTGTATATTGGATATGTTGTTGTCTTGAATGGTGTTTTAGTAGAGATTATTAAGGTAAAATACAATGCTTTCAATTGTAAAAGATTGAGTTTTTATTTTCACTGTTTTGGTTTGATCGTAATAGGATAGTAGCTATTTGATGAAATTTCAGCTGGAATGACTGACTTTGTAGTATTTTTGGTTATGTTTTGTTGCTACTGTTCTTTTCTCCTTAATTTTTAGCATGACTTCTGCACTAATGTATTTCTTTCCAATACTTGGTGTTGATATGCTTTTACTGAGCCGACAAGCTATCGGAAACAATGTCTCTACCTTATGTGATTTTTGTTGTTGTTGTTGTTGTATATTGGTTCTGTTTTCTGCATATGCTGTTGTCTTGAATGGTGTTTCACTAGAAATTGTTAGCTTTGTTCAGTTATATTAGATGAGTGTTTGATGACGCGATGCTGAAGTAGCTGATTTTACTAATGTTGGTCTAAAATCATTGGCAAATTCAGGGTCTATTGTCGGTGGATTTGGAATGAGTGTGATATTATTATATGTTCGTCTTTTAGTTTTTTCTTCATATGTACATGTAGTTAGAGGCTGAAGTAATGGGTTCAATTGAACCAGAAGTGAAGCTAGGTCCCCTTTATAATTCGTATACTGTGAAATAGGAAAAAAATGATTTTTTTTTTGATAATATATAAATTGTTGAACCCCTTGACATAAGTGAAAATTTTAGTGAAGAAGAGGCTAAAAGTTGCTACTTTTGAGTCCCCTTGTATAAATTTCTGGCTCCGCCACCGAGTTGAACCTACATAACCCGCCCTGAATCAGCTTATTTCCAGTATTCTTATGTAAAGATGAAGATAGACATGTTGATATGCGATATATAGAATTGAAAGAGATACATTTTGAGCAAATTTCTTCTTCTTTATAAGGTTTAACAAATGCAAACCAACTTATTCGAAAGTGAACTGAACTGAACTTCTCAAATGCAAATCTGCAGGATTATCCAGAAAGTTCACCATTTGATGAAATTGAGCCAAACTCATTAGTTGATCTTCTACCTGAACTTCCCTTATGGGTGATGAATCCAGACTACGAGCGGGTAAGTGTTTGCCCCTTTTTGAATTTAAATTCTTTCATCCTAATATCCCAAGTCAATCTTATCTAGTCAATGCTTCTATTGGTGTGTAGGTTAACTGGTTCAATGAGTTTATAGCTAATATGTGGCCTTATCTTGACAAGGTAATTGCAAATTCTTCACTTTGTATTTCCGACATATCATTTCATGGAAATGGTCTGAAGTATATCAGCATGCCTAAATAGTGTAGCCTGATTTTATTTCCTTTACAGGCAATTTGTGGAATTATTAAAAGCACATCCGAACCTATTTTTGCAGAGTATATTGGAAAATATCAGATAAAATCTATCGAGTTTGAGCAACTTACTCTTGGAACAATTCCTCCTAGATTGCATGGTGAGCACCATTTTTCATCTAGTACATGAAATGTTGTGACAAACCACCATCTATAAATTGGAATTGCTCGTGTTTCATTTGAGATCGATCAATATTGCAGGTATTAAAGTATATGATTCCAATGAAAAGGAGCTAGTATTTGAGTTTGCGGTCAGATGGGCTGGAAATCCAAATATAGTTGTGGCATTGAAGTTATTATCTCTAAAAATCTCGGCACAGGTAAGACTAGTTTCCCTTATGTTCTTCTTTCGAAAGATAGATTGACATGATCATCAAACAAAAGTGCTTTGCAATTTGCTTTTTTGTAACTTATCTGATTTATGTTATTTCTTTTGATCACTTTAGTAGAGTTCAGCTACAAGGCTATAAGATTAATCAATTTATTGTTTTTAGTGTATCTTTAAGATTAATCAATTTGCTTCAATAAGATGTTATTGTAAGAACAACAAAATAAACATAAAGAATGATTTTTTACTCAACTTTTGGGTAAAATTAATAGTGTAACTCTTCATGATTTTTTTTTTTTACCAAGCTTAGCTATATTTATCTTCAGTTGGTAGATTTCCAAGTTGCTGCTACAGCAAGGGCGACACTGAAACCTTTTGTCCCAACCTTCCCATGCTTTTCAAACATAGTAGTATCATTGACAAAGAAGGTACGTAAGCTTGCAAAATATCTGTGGCTTTCAACGAATAATATGGTAATAACTCTTTATAACTTCTCTAACTAAAAATAACAATCATATATGTAGCCAGAGGTAGACTTTGGGCTAAAAGTAATTGGAGGAGATCTCATGGCAATCCCCGGTTTACACCATTTTGTTCAGGTATGCTTCCTCTTTTACCTAGTGTGTTTCTTAAGTACTAAACTCCATAGGCTAAGCTTGCATTGGATTGAAGTCAAAAGTTCCTTCACTCCTTTTTTTGTTGCAAAGGGACTGGTATCAAGTTTAATCATTTCTGAGAACTTCACCAATTTGATCTGCGATTCCAAGGATAGAATCACAAGATTATTTCTTTGACCCGTGATCATTAGTATGCATCAAGGGAATTTACAGAAAAAATCTTTCAACTTGGCACTGATACAAAAACAATCTGTAATTTGAGTTAATTATGTTATTTCAACAGTACAATTCTTGAAGTAAATAAACAAGCTGGAAGATGTTTGGTTGCTAAGAGATGTAAAATGCATTTGAGTTTAATGCAATAATAAGATAGGAAATAGTTAATACCGGACATCATAGAAATGGCTTGGGTGAATTCGTGGCTGCAGATTAATAGTTGTAGAAAATGCGTACCCTGAAATCTTATGCATTGGTTTTGATATGACTGAATTATAGTAGATAAAGTTACTGAATTAGGAAAGCTTATAAAAGGGAGTAACATAACATGATTTATCTGCTTAAGAGTTAAGATGTATTGTTCTCGAATGAGTCTGTTATACCAATTTTTCCTTTGTAAATGTATAAATATTATGATACCATTGTATCTAAAGTTGGCCATTGTTGTTTACCTACACTCGAAAGTACATAAACTGAATAAAGTTTGCAGCTCTCCCTATCATTCTATGTGTTTCTAGATTCAAACTGACTGTATTACAGACAGGAGTCTTTTATACATTATCCTTCTCAGATAATTTTATTTGATAATTCACTGGGTGGCAGGAAACTATAAGCAAGCAAGTCGCCAGACTTTACCTCTGGCCACAAACACTTGACATACCAATTCTTGACAGTTCAATGTAAGTTGTTAACAAACAATAATTTACTTGAAATATTGTCAATGGACTAATTCCTGACATCCATTTGCACTTCTGTTGTCGTGATACGTGTGCATTGTTGTTATAGTAGCCTAATGCAATTTCTTAGACTTTGGTTTTCACAAAATGTAGTCATCTTCCTTATTCTATTCCTATAAAATTTCTTTTTTTCTTTGTCCAAGTCTTTCGAATTCATGTTTTTGTACCATTCCTTGTGTACTGCTAAAGTTTCAAATTTCTATTGTTAAAATATGTAACATTCTACACAGGGCATCCTAAGGGATTTAAAAGGTTTGAGTCTACTCCAATTATTAAAATCAATTCTCGGTAAAATTGGTTTCAAACAATTCTCTCTACTTAAAGCCAAATTTTATATTGTCTCTACCTATTCTAAAGCTCTAGGCTTCCTCTATGCACTCACTCAATCTAGATCTAGGCTTCTCTCTTGTGCTCATTGAGTCACTAGCACTGTTCTAGACACACTCTTTAGGCTGTTGAACGAACTCTTTGTTCCGCTCCACTCTTCTGTATGTCGAGCCACATAGATTATGCCTTAAGGTCTGGTTAGATGAAAGTCTTAGAAATATGATGTCTCCTATATCGGATACCTAAACGCATCCAAAGTGGTTTAGCCTTACAGTATCGGGTTGGATGCTCAAATTCATTTCTATTTACTAACATTAGCTTTTGTATTTTTTATAGAGGAGCTGTGAAGAAGCCTGTTGGAATACTACACGTGAAGGTTCTGAGAGCGCAGAAACTTTTGAACATGGACTTTTTGAGTAAATCAGATCCATATGTTAAACTCAGCTTAGGTGGGGACATGCTTCCAGCAAAGAAGACTACTGTAAAGATGAACAGTCTAGATCCCGTGTGGGATGAGGATTTCAAATTGACCGTTAAGGATCCCGAGGCTCAAGTTCTGCAGCTGCATCTATATGACTGGGAAAAGGTCAGAATCTTGATTTGATATATCATGGTATTGTGGCACCACATTGGTGTTTCAAACTTTTTACTTTAGAATCAAAGACCATCATAGTACTCCAAAGCTATACATACGTACATTTCTTTGTAGTTTTCTGATGGCTACAATCCTGGTTCTGATTTTCTGTTAAAAAGGAATTGTATTATGTACACCATACATCTCAAATTTCAAAGACCCTCTTTTACTTTCTTGGAGCTTTAAGAGTAAAATGGTTGAATATCAACTTGGTGGAGAAGCGTAAGATTTTGAAAACTAGAGAAGTTATCTATATAGATGTAATATCAAAGTTGTTTATGAACTATTAAGAACTTCAGTTTGAATCCTTTGAGGTGGTAAAATGCAAAGGTTATGTTTATTTCCAGCTTGATGTTCAAAATTACTCGTCGGTTGTCCACAAGACACAATGGCGATGGCCGATGAGTTAGAGTGTTTAGTTGACAGTTGAGACCAAGTTGAGGTGTCTAAATGTGCACTCTCAAAATTGGAGTGTTTTACTGGTTGAGTGTTTGTTTATGTGTTATGCCTTTCTAAAAAAAGAGGTACTGCAACAATCTCCTTAAAAACATGAATCGCTAGAAATACTTTACCTGTTGATTTTGATTATTTTTTATCAAGAATAAGAACTAATGTATTCTGATTTTCACTTTGTTTCACAGATTGGGGCACATGACAAGTTGGGAATGCAAGTAGTGCCACTGAAATTGCTCAAGCCATATGAGAAGAAAGAACTAACTCTTGATTTGGTCCACAGCTTAAACCCAAACGACCCTCAGAATAAGAAGCCGCGAGGCCGACTTATGTTGGAAATGTCCTTCATCCCTTTCCAAGAAGATAGTATAAAGTTTAGTGGACCTCTTAGTTTTCACGAAAGAAAGGAGAGTATTTCAAGCCTTTCAGATGACATTTCCTTACGTGGAGCAGGTTTGCTTTTGGTTACCGTTATTGCTGCTGAAGATGTAGAAGGGAAGAACCATACCAATCCTTATGCAGTCGTAGTGCTTCGAGGAGAAAAAAAGAAAACTAAGGTGATTCTTACACTCATATATACAGTTAACCATAGAGTCGTATTCATAGTTTAAACTTGATAGTTCAACCTTTAAGATTCAAAATTTAATATTTATGTGTGTGTTTATGTTCAGTTAAAAAAAACTAGATTCACTTGAACCCATGCTCCGTACGCCTTTGGTTTACCATCTTATTGCTTCTGTTGCCTTAACCTTTATTTACCGACTACCTGTAGGCAAGGAACAAAACGTGGAATCCAAAATGGGAAGAAGAATTCCAGTTTATGTTGGAAGACGCTCCATTGAAGGAGCTAATCCATATTGAAGTCAAGAGCAAGAAGAGAAGATTTGGTTTTAGGTCTAAGGTAAACGAACCATCGTCAACAAGTGTCCTCAGCTTCCATTACTGCAATTGTTGTATACAAAAACTGATATTTGTTGCATTCTGATTTCCTTTTTCGTCTGTAGGAGTTACTTGGCTATGTCGATATCCAACTGAAGGATGTTATCTTCAATGGACGTATCAACGAGAAGTACCATCTCATCAATTCTAAAGATGGGATTTTACATGTTGACATCAGATGGAAGGTGATCTAACAACTGCAGCCTTCTCTGTATTCGGAATTATCCATTTTGATATTAATCACATTGAGCTTAAATGATGAAGCGAGGATTCATATAGCCCACCTAGCTTGTTTGGGACTGAGGCGTAGTTTGGACGGTCTTTCTCCTAGTAGTTGTTGTGTTTCTCAAAATCATAGCACAATGCCCAGTTTTTTTTGTTTGTTTATAAACCATGAAAAGAAATGCATACAAACATAACATGCACACATAAGCATGTTTATTACTAGTACTGTTATATACCTTTTATCTTCTCTTGTCATGTATATACTTGTTTGGGTATGTCAGTATCAATTCAATAATGAATAAACTACATCTCAAGTTTACTTAGTTGAGGTCGATTATATGAATTCATTGTATCAAATATGGTATATTAAGATTTATTTAATCAAGATACTAAGCGTACGTTTGACCAAGCTTCTATAAACTAAATTCTAAAATGTGATTTTTTGTTAGTATTTGATAAACTAAAATCTTGACAAATATTGACCTTTAATTAAATCCATATTGATTCATTTATGACTCTATCTCTATGCAAATGGCAACTAAAGTTTAAAAACTTATGGACAATTTGAATTATGAATTTGTATGAAAGTTGTGTATCTATGTGGAGTGGCACCAACCATAGGTATTATTTGAATCAAGAAAAAAAAGATGTGGTCCAAAATATTGTGTGTTTGGCTGCCAATTGATATAGCAAATGAGACAGTTTGCAGCTGTGCCCTTGCAAGTGGCAACTGCCTTTGCCATTATTGTGAAACACTAGAAGTTGCATAATTTACAACTGGAACTGTTTTATTCCATTTAGTTGGTACACTGAAAAAAAAGGAAGAGAAAAATCTACAACCTAGCTACAAGTTTAATCACTGTATTAAAGTTTGTTGGAGAAGTTAGAAGCCAGGAGAACAAGAGGGTACTTTTGAAAAAATAACACAAACAATCTAACAACATATTCAATGTACGTAGTCACACAAAATAGGGTCTGAAGAGGGTAGAGTGTTCGCCGATCTTACCCTATCTCATAGGTAGATAAACTATTTCTGATAAACCCTCCGATCAAAGAAAAATAATCCAAAGCAATCTAGAAAAAGAGTAATTGAAGTGAAAACATAAGATGTTACGATAATTGAAGTGCAAGAAACAACAAATAATAACAGAAATTGAAGAGTTAGAAACTATAGGAGCAATACAATGGCTACTAGAATAAATGGATAACAAGACAAAACACTACGACCTACTACCCTAGTCCATGTCCTCGAGAACCTCCTACCTAAGGTCATGTACTCAATAAGTTGATACTATGCCAAATCCTGTCTAATTACTTCTCTCTAATACTTCTTCGGCCTACCATACCTCTCGTAAAATCATCCATAACCATCATCTCACACCTTCACATTGAGGCATGTATGCATCACCTCTTCACATGTCTAAACCATTACTACTTTATATTGTGCAATGACTTCAGAAAGAAATTAACATTTAATACACACATCATCTGCTAGTTCAAGTAAAGTACACTACTAAAGGTCCTCAGACTCTAAAATAGTTTTTTCTAAAAAACCTAACTGCCCCTGCCCAGTGACGAGTTTATAGTCTAAATATAGGGCACGCGAATTCATAATTATTTTTTTTAAATATATATATTTTTCAGAATTGATATAATATTTTTTGTCGACACTCATGCTACAAAAAGGCTAAATGATGCACTTAGTTAAATGTTGAGTTATTTACCTAGAAGACTAGCAATCCTCACAATACATGGAAAAATCACATACACTTTACATACTGTTGGCCTCCCCCATACAGTTGGTCAATGTTGTGCACATACTGTTTGAAAACACATATATCATACCCAGTTAACCACACATACATACACATATTTCTAACTTCTGCTTTTTGAAAATACATACATACACATATAATTAACCACATATGCATCCAACTTCTGCTCTGAAAATAAATACATACAAATACAATTAGCCACACATACATACACATAAAGTTACAATATTCAAAATGGTATTCACATGATTTCAGTAAGAATTAGATTTTATATTCGCACGCAGGGGAATAGGCACATGTAAGTAGTCAGGGTGTCCAATTGGACACCCTTCATCAGAAAAGAAATACTGCATATACGAGTAAAATGATACACGAAGTGATTAAATAATATATTTTGGATACCCTTAACATAATAGATTGTTATAGCCTAGTGGTTTAAGATGTCTTGAATGTATGTTTAGACAACTTTAATGAGCTAGTGTCGTGTGTTCAAATCTCACTTGCAACAAATTTTCCCATTTTAAAAAAGAGTTTTTGTTGTTTAATTTTTGGACCCTCTTCGTGAAATTCCTCCCTCCGCTACTGTTCGCATGGATACAATATATTTTGCTATGATTTGAAAGAAAAATACAAAAACTAAGGGGTCGTTTGGTAGAGTGTATTAAAAAAAATAATGCATGCATTAACCTTGTATATTACTAGTACCTTGTTTGGTACTCTTTTCCAACCTATAAGCATTAGTTATACACTCTATTGTATATTAAGGTGTGTATTGCTAATACCATGGATTTCTAGGTATTAGCAATGCAATGATTTTAATGCATGCATTAACGCAATTAAAGACCCAATTGCCCCTCAATACCTTTTTTTTTTTTCTTTCTTTTCCACCATAATAGTGAAGGGTATTTTTATAAATAATTTTATTAATGCAAGCATAACTAATACATGCATTGCTAATGCAAACATTACTAATACACTCTACCAAACGACCCCTCTTGAAATTTTTCCAAGACAAATACACCCAACTTAATGCCTCAAACAAACATGGCCCATGGGCCTTATCCTCTAAAAACAAACCCAAACCCAAAAATCTCCATCATTATGGACCCAAAATATCTCTTCAAACACCACATCTCCTCTTCCCAATAAAATATCCAACATTTCACATTATAAATCCCCATATCTACATACAACACACTCTGTCTTCACAATTCTTTTGCTTCAATAAAAACCTTATCTTCAAAATTTTCTTCAACCCCTTCTCCAATGGCTTCTTCTTCTTCTTCCCTCCATTTCCTTTCACTTACACCACAAACACTCCCAAAACCCACTTCCCAAACAACTTCAATTTCCTTCTTTTCACTTCCTCCTTCCTCTTTAAACCTTTCTTTATCATCTTCTTCAACCCCAAGAAACTTCGAATCTTCTCGTTTTGTTCGTAAAGTAACCCTTTCTGATTTTGACCAAATTGAGGAAGTTGAGGCTGGTGATGATGATGAGGAGGAGGGGGGTTTGAGTGATGAAGGTGCTTCATATGAAGAACGTAATGCCAATCCTGACCTTAAAATCTTTGTTGGTAATTTGCCTTTCAGTGTTGACAGTGCGGCTCTTGCTGAGCTTTTTGAGCGTGCTGGAGATGTTGAAATGGTTGAGGTAATTAAAAGATTCAATCTTTTTTTGTGGGGTTTAGTTGTTTTGGTAATTTGAGGTTTTGTTTGCTATGGTTGAGGTAATAAAAAATTGAATCTTTGCAAACCTAAAAGTAGTAGAATTGGCCTTTTGGGTCGATCTCGTCCCACTGGGCTTGCATTGTTTGCGAGCTATTGGATAGGAGTGGGGTTTACCTTGTGTGCATCCAAAGGTAGCTGCACTGGGTTCCCTTTTCATAAAAAAAAGTAGTGAAATTGAAGTGTTTATTAAACTTTGCTGCTTGTAAATTGTAATGCATTGTTAAGGGAGAAAGATTTAATCTTATTTGTGGGGTTTATGTGTTTATATAGTTTTGAGGGATTGTTTGGCTATGTTTAAGTGAGAACCCTTGTGAAGTTTGTATCTTTAAGGTCTGCTAATCATAAAAGTAGTAAAATTGAAGTGGCTATCTCTGAGTAGATAAGATGTTCACAAAATTCAACAGGTTAATAGAGCAGTAAATGATTAATTGTTTTTAAGTAGGCTTCTTGTTTAGATGATTTGAAGTTTTGTTTGGCTATGTTTAAATAACTAACCTTGTGAATTTTGATTATTTATGATTTGTGCTAACCTGAAAGTAGTAAAGTGGCTATTTCTGACAGTTTAGTCTGTTAGATAAGATGTTCCCACAATTCAACCTATTATCAGAGCAATCCCATACATGAGGGGATATATAACATATCTAAGAGTAACAAGTAAATGTGTCTTATCATAACAAGTTAAACTTTAAGATGAGGCTTTTTATACTATTCAACAAGGTTTTTACTGGATAAGTTTATTTATGCTTTACGAATCCTTTGGGGTTGCTCAAATGGTTTGACTTGAGACTTCCCTAATGGAGGTCTCAAGTTCGAAACCCCTTGCCTGTGACAGTATGGGTTGGCCTTCTGGGGTGAGCTCGTTGCACGGGGTTTGCCTAGTGCGGTTTACCCCTCGTGTGTGGTTTGCAAGCTATGGCAAAGGAGTGTGGTTCCCTTGTCATATAGAAGAAGTTTTTATTTATGCCTTAAGGTGTTATAGAAGGAAATTGTTCCGGCTTCTTGATTTTTTGGTGTACAGTTAGGATATTAAGGATTTTATGGTAGGCTAATGGACTTGTTAAATTGAAATTCCGCTTGGCAATGTTTGAATAGGCAACCATGTTGAGCATTTAAGGTTTTGTTATTGATATAATCTTATTGTGTGACTTTAGCATAAATGGTTGTTGTTTTCAATCTTGATTGGGAGAGTGAGGATGTGAAGAATTGGATAAGAGGTTTAATCGGACTTACTGGAGCTGCTAACTTTTGCAGGTTATCTATGACAAGCTTACAGGAAGAAGCAGAGGTTTTGGCTTTGTGACAATGTCCTCCAAAGAGGCAGTTGAAGCCGCCTGTCAACAATTTAATGGCTATGTAAAGTCTTTTGCTTTGTTGTCTTTTCTTGGTTATTATGCTCTAACGTGTGTGTCCAAATATTCCCTTAAGTCCTGAATTTCCGTGTTCTTGGATAGCTTAATCTATTTTTGGAATTCAATTGTTGTGTTCAGTTAACAATTTTAAAAATGGTATAACGGAAGACCAGTACTCCCTTTTAATATTAACATATTTTGCAATGTGCCATACTGCAGATTTCAATACTAATTTTGATGATGAAATCCCCCCCCCCACCACACACACACACACACAAAAAAAAAAAACTATAAAAATTGCTGATTAAGTGATTTCAGCTCTCATTCTCAACCATCATTTTGTGGATCCTAATACGCTTGTTATTAGTAATACTTTCTTTATGCAAAATTTCTTTGCTGAAATTCAACACTAAGCATAATTGATTCCTTTGGCAGGAAATTGACGGGAGGGCACTGAGGGTGAATTCTGGGCCAGCACCACCCAAAAGGGAGAATTCTTTCGGGGACAATTCTTCTTACCAGGGAGGTAGGGGTGGAGGGAGTATGGACAGTTCCAACAGAGTCTACGTAGGAAACCTTGCATGGAGTGTTGACCAACAGCAACTTGAGACCTTGTTCAGTGAGCAAGGAAAGGTCGTGGATGCCAAAGTAGTCTATGATAGAGATAGCGGTAGATCAAGGGGCTTTGGATTTGTAACATACAGTTCCGCTAAGGAGGTCAACGATGCAATTGAAAGCTTGGATGGTGTTGTAAGTCATCCTTACTCAGCTAAACAATTATCTTTCTTTATGTTTTGTATGTGCATGTGTCTTCACACGTTGATCTCATTTTCCATTCAGGCTGGTTTTGTACCGGCTTAACATTCACATGTACTAGTCTGTTGTAACCCCCCCCCCC